GGCTTACCTCATAAGTGGTACCTACAAGTACCTAGCCCTGGAAAATACCCAGTCCTAACATCGGCGTCCCTAGTCGTAGCAATCGTGCCCCACCATCTTTTCTGGAGTCCATCAGTGGCGAGTACAATATTTGTCCGATTACCAGAGGTCATCGAGGGACAGTACCCGTTTTGGGGAGTTCACCTACCCGCGCGGTCCGCGGCCAAGTCCTCTCCTGCCATTGGGCAGGGGCATAGACCCGCATAGACCCTGTTTGAGGCCGTAGAGACCGCAGCCTGGGGACTACCATAGCTGATACCACTTAGAAATCGGACAGGTACTTGTAGGTACCACTTATGAGGTAAGCCCCCCCCCCCCCCTCACCCCCTTGTAGGCCCACTCGCCCACTCGCCACCCTGCCCATAAGGAGCGGCCTCTCTATGGAGCGCTATCGTCCTCTTCCTTACGCCCCTTCTCTCCCTATTGAACGCAAAAGCTGGGGCGCCGCGGTCTGGGATGCCAGGAAGGTACGGATGGTACCCGTTTTCGGGCCCCCGTCAACCCGCGCGCCCGCCGACGAGTGCTGCCGGGCTCGAGGCCCACGAGACCAGTGGTCTCAGACAGCAGACGACGCGCGGGCCGGACGGGTGGGCACCTCTCGCTCGCACTCCCGCTCACAGCGTCGCTCCATCTCTCTCACTCGGGGCCGGATTTGGCCCGCGGGCCGCCAGTCTGAGACCTCTGCACGAGACCGTGGTCTTGCGGCCCGGCGACTATTAAGCTGATATCATCGAGCTCTACGGTTCGGACGGTATGGGTCGGACAGAAAAAATAATTACATCGCCGGAAAGCTTGGGCAGTATGCTAAAAACCTATCCCCGACATAAAATGTCAAATTTTGAACGGGTTAAGACCTGCATCTAGTTTTATGTGTCGGGGCGTGACGGCGCACCCAGCCCCGACAATTTTGCCCATGTTGGCAGCGGCCTAACTCGGTCTGTATGGGTCGTATCGGAATGACATTCCCAGCGCCGGAAAGCTTGGACATCGGGCTAAACCGGCCTCCCTTACACAAAAAGTCAAAATCTTAACGGTTTGAGAGCTAAAGCCAGATATTGAGCCGAGCGTAGCGGCCCGCCCATTACCGCACTGCAGTCCGAGCCGCCGACTATCCCCTTAGCAGAGGTGGCGCGCTCTGGTGGCGGCCGGGCCGAAGCGTGCTCGCGCGGACGGATTTCGGGGCCATTTTGCCTCGGCCCGGCGGCTGAAGAAGGTTCTCCATACCTATATTCTCCGTGGCCGACGGCTACGACTGACCAAGAGAGGACGAGGAAAGGAGAGGGTACTGCAAGCCACCCCCGGGAGCACGGTGCCTTTGAGCAGAGCGGTTAAAAATATTGAGAGT